CTGAGAAAGTAACAAACATCTAAGTTGTGAAACAACCTCAGTCTTTCAAAAAGAGCATTATTATTTCTGATAAAGGTACAGTGGGTATTTACAATTTCATATACTTGTCAATTTCGGACATTTTCTTGGGTATGAAAAGAACCCTTCTAAAAAAGAAAGGCCTTTAATTTTACAGCTAGGACAGATAAGTGCCCCATGCTGAAGACATTAACTGAAAATCTGGAACAATTTAGGGATCACTTCTCTTTGCAAGGTAGAGAGTATAAGTTATCAATGAAGAATAGAAAGAAAAGAGTATGACTATCATGAAAATTATTCTTCATTAAAGTGTTAGTCTATCTAAATCTCTTGTACATAACTCGTGCGTGAAATCCTCACACACTTAGTACTGCTTTTCCATGTAGTTCTCAGAATCTCTATAGTCATGAGGTAAATAAAACTGACACAAATCCTTTTCATTTGTGTAGGTGTTAACAAACTATGGTGCCAAGACCAAATATGGCCTGCTTTATGACCAATTTATTTTTGGAAAAAAAAATAGTTACAATTTACGTATCTACAATTCACAGCTCAAAGTTCATTTAAGTGCTTTTTAATATAGTTGTAAAGCTGTGCAAGCATAATCACTAGCTCTAACTTCATATTATGTTCATCACTACAAAAAGAAACCATTTACACATTATTAGTCACTACCCATTGTCTCCCCTGTCATTGACAAACAACCAGTATTCTGCTTCTGCTTCTAAGGTGCCTACTCTGACGTTGCATGTAAAGCACATCAAACAATAAGTTGTCTTTTCTGTCTGGTCACTTTCACTAAGCATAATATTTCATAGCTAATCTATATTGTATCATGAACAAGTCTTTTATTATTTTTTTGACTGAATAATATTCAGTTGAATGGATGTGCCAAATTGTTTATCCAGTCTTCAAGTTGAGGGGCATTTAGATTGTTTTTAATCTAGGGCTCTTATGAATAATGTTGCTATGAACATTGATGTATAAATTTTTGTATGGACAAGTATGTTCAATTCTCTTGATAAATATCTAGATGAGAAAATGCTAAGCCACGTCCAAAATCAATGCTTATCTTTTTAAGAAACTACCAAAGAGTTTTCTACGTGGTTGCAGTATCAGCAATTTATGAAGGTACTACCATTCTACATTCTTGTCATCTTATTAGTTTAATTATAGTCAACTTAGTGGGTGTGAAATTATACTTCTTATAGTTTTGATTTGTTTGATGTTTAGTGCCTGAGAGCTTCCCATGTGTTTAACAGCTATTTAGATAATTTCTTTGGAAAACTTTTCTTTCAAGTCCTGTGTCCATTGTTTAATAGAACAATTTATCTTCTTATTGTTGAGGTATAATGTTCCTTCATATTTTCTCATACTATATCCTTGTCAAATACATGATTTACAAATAGTTTTTCCCAGTCTGAGGCATGACCTTGTACTTTCTTGATATCCTTTGAACTGCAAAAAAAAAAAAATAATTTTGATGAAATCCACCTAAATCCTCCCCCTTTTGGTTGCTTGAACTTAAAGTATCTATTACCTAATCCAAGATCATGAAGATTGATACTGATGTTTTCATCTAAGGTTTTAATATTTTTGCCACTTGCATTTGGGCTCTGATCCATTTTGATCCATTTTGAATTTATATATATACATATATATATATACATATATATATATATATATATATATATATATATATGGTTATATGGTGAAGGATTGTTCTATATTCATGGGAAGATTCACTTGTCCTTTCTTGCCTCATTTGTTAAAAAGATTATTCTCTTTTCACTGAATTGCCTTTGCACCTTTGTTAGTCTGAACAATAGCTTCACAAAGAGCAGGTAACAGTCCTTATAACCTATGAATATCACTTTGCAAAACAAAAAAGACTATGCAGAAAAGATCTCAGGATAGTGAGATTGTTCTAGATTTGCCAGGTGGGTAATGAATGGGGTACAGAATTTGTTGAGCTTTGATTGTGTGCTTTTTCATCAACTTGAGGAAGTTTTGGCCCTTCTTCCTTCAAATTCTTTCCTGCTTCTTCATTCTCTTATTCTTTTAGGCTTCATAGCATCCCACAGTTACACAAAGCATTCTATTAATGTTCTCTTTTTATGGCATGTTATCTCAATTGCATATTTCATTCATGATATTTTTCCTATCTACCCAAATCTACTATTCAGTTTCTTAGTGGAGCTGAGAATTTTCTTTCAGGTCTTGAACTTATTAAGTCCAGAGTTTCTATTTGGTTTTTCCTTATACTTTTTTATATTGCTACTGATAGTCACTATTTTATTTACATAATTCATTATAGCTTCTTTTAGTTCTTTGAACACATTTAAAGTAGCTGATTACAATATCTGTCTAATAAATCCGACATCCCAGCTTCTTCAGAAACAGCTCCTATCAACTACTTCCTGTAAGTGCAACACTTTGATTTCTTTGCATGTCTCATAATTTCTTGCTGAAAACTAGACATCACATATTGCAAATTTAGAGGCCAAACTCTTCCTTTATCCATTACTTGTTATTGTTGCTATTCACAATTTTTTAAGTGACCTTTTGACTTAATTCTACAAAGTTGTGTTGTTTATCATGGCTAATGATGTGTCTGTCTAATGATCTGAAAGATTCCCTTTAGCGCGTGGTTCCAAAAAGTCACCCAGTGTTTGCTGAGGGGTTCTGTGTATTTTGGGTCAAAAAAATCAATATTAAGACAGACAAATTAAAACTACTTTGTCTTCACTTTCTGTTCGTACAGTTTCAAGGTTAACTTGAAATGAGTAGGTGTTGTCAGTGCTCCCTTGAATAATGGCACAGCTCAACACATGTGCATGGCATTTTAATTCTCAAGAAGATGTCAGATATTTTCACTCCCCACAAATAGCTTATTCTGTATCTTTTCCTCTTAAGAGTCCTATTATCCTAGCATTTGCCTCAGCTTTTAGTGACCATTAGTACTGTCTCAGGTAGACAAAAATAAAACCACTGTCTGATTTTTTTCAACTGATCTTCCCAAAGTAAAAGTTGTTTATATTGGGTCAATTCTAACAGGTCAAAGAAAAGCAACTTGGGCCTCCCAGCCAACTACCAGTCAAGTAGTAATTCTTCAAAATAGGAATTTGAAGGAGTTCCAGTCCTGCTTAGTCCTGTCCAGTGTCTGAGACTGATTGTTAAATCAAGATTTGAGGAAATAAAATGAAATAGTAAAGCATTTAGTTTTAACTGGGATTTTTTTCAGTCATTTTTTGAATAAATGTTCACCAGATTGCTTGAAGTCTTTGCTTAATTTAGAGCTCTGAAAAACTTCATTTAGATAATTTTTGCTAATGTTCTGGTTGCTACTATGAAGGAAAATTTTTGAAGAGATCCTTTTCCCACTATTTTCAGACATTATTCATTCAAATTTCATTGAGTCAGCTTGCTCTCCTCTAGCTGCTTTGAGGCTATTGCGGCTGAATTGACTAGTTTTGAGAGATCCTGCTGTCTACAAAATTTTCTTTGTTGACCTATTCTCCAAATTTCAGTCAGTTTTATATTAGAGATCACGATCTATAGTAAACTTTATTTTTAAATTTATTGTAGTACTAAATTTTAGAAGAAAATTTAAAATGGGACCCATACCTTTTTTGCAAAGTTAAAGTAAAATATACTAATTATTAAGATGAAAGGCTGCTTATTCAGAAAGAAAACATGTCATAAACTAGGAAGAAAAGTATCCACAATTTTTAACCTAAAAAGAGGAAATAACTAAGGCAGCAAAAATAATGAAAGCTTTTGGGTTAAGCCATGTAAGCCACCCTCCACGTACATGTGTAGAAATGGCCTGTTTTGCAAAAGGTAAATATTTTTACTCAGTGAAAAATGTTTGCAGAATTCATCTTACCAAATTATTGTAACAACCTTAGAAGTTAAATGTGAGAATTAACAATACTTAATTTTAGCAAATGGGAGAGACAACACCCAAACAGCATGTGATAATTTTATGACCATATGACCAGAAGAAGCCAATGTGGGCATTTAGAGAACATTTAGACACAGCAGGAGGCATGAGATGAACATTTTGATAATAGAAAGTCTGATACCCAGCCCCTCAATCAACACAAGAGTGGGCAGATTTGCAGTTGTACTTGACTGTGACTAGGATCCAAACTAGCTATTTTTTTGTTACTCCTTGTAAACCCTTGTATACAAAAGCAGCCAGATTCTCCTGTGACTGATAAACTCATTTTAGCTCAACTAGTTCCCAGTTCCTAAGGCATCATAAATATCACCCCAGTCTACAATAAAGTTAGCCTCTGAAAACATGATTGCTGTTTTCATTCACTATATGACAACCATATCTCAACAAAATTGGGGTGGATTTATTAAAACTATAAAAGCAAAGAACTTAAGGTTAATATGAGGTATTGATGTAATATTGGAACAGACTAATGTCTACAAACAAATAGTGGTGGGGAGAGGTAGAAACAGAGCAGGAGAGGAAGAAAATGAGAGGGATTGAGAAATATTGACATCTTGAATGCTATTTGCTAATAATTCGGAGAATCTCGAATCAGCATCTCAATAAGAAGCTATGTAGAGAATTCTTAATACCAAGTTTGGAACTATAGAGAGCACTTACAATGCCAACTAATATACTTTGAAAGTAGAGAGCACATTTAATATCAGAATATCTGCTGATTCTGAAATCTCAGAGCACTGTTTTCTTCATATCACAAAGTAAGCCAGTCATGGCAAAATTAAGCAGATATAAATTGATTTTATGTGTTTCTGAACAGGCATTTTGCTGATATAAAGAATTCAACAGCAACATATAAGCAACTAGCTCTCCTTTGGGAGAATTTTTTCTTTCATGTGTGAACAATGTTTTGATCGGGATTTACAAAGAGAAAAAAAGCTGATATGTAAAGAAAAACATCAAAGCTTCTTTTCACTAAATGAAAACAGTAAAGATCAAAACAGATTGCAACACCAACCTGAGCCTTTGTAGAAGTCCATGTTGGCAATGCATGACAAGCAAAAGGGAAAGAAAATTATATATGCATTAGTTGAACTGCTATTATAATGCAAAATTGAAAAAAGTAGAAATCCTTTCCCCTGGTTATTCAAAATGAATGACTAACATTTCAGCTAGAATTTGAATGTCTCCCTCCCAAGGTTCAAGCAAAATATCCCCTATAAGTGGATACTCAACATATGATAGTATGGGAAAAAAGAACAGGTGGGTCTGAGAAAGTGAGATTTTCTCCAACTGTCCCCTGGCTAGAAGAGCTAATTCCGAAGACCAAGTCTCAAGGAAAGGCAATACATCTCTGCAGCCTGACTCAAACTCCCTAAAAAGTATCACAGTTACTACAGGTCACCAATGATAGCAATAAAGAACACAACAGTGTTTACTTTTGAAGAATATAGCACATGTGGACAGATTAAATCTCAGAAGATAGTTCAATGATATTTATTCCTATTGCCCACTACCCACTTTATGTGTATTTACTGCTTAACCCTATCATAATTTTAATTTTGAACTTATTTGAGTCGTTATTTAGTTATCATCATCTCTACAAGTAAACCGAATGCTTAAGGGCAGGATCAGTATCAATTTTTGCTGTCACCAGATGGCTCAATATTGACAAAAAAGTGGTTATTTCAGAAACACAGTAAAAGACGAGTGGAAGTGTTTCTGATGTTCACAATTTAAGATGGTCTAACTTAATGATTTTTTTGACCTTCCTATTAGTGAAAACAGTAAGCATTAATTAGAGAGGTACTTTGATTTTTTAATCTTTCCTCTTTCCTGGGCCAGAACAATACCACCTCAGGGCGCTGGGGGCAGCAGTGAGCTGCAGCTCCTGCTTAGGAACATGATCAAGAACAACTGATAACTCTCCACACTGGTTTTCACTTTCAATGCGGTATTTAATAAATCATATGAGCTATTAAGCAGTTTATTATGAAGTAGGCTTTATGTTAGATGATTGTGTCCAATCATAAGCTAATGTAAGTGTTTTGAAAACATTCAAGGTAAGCAGTTTAAGTTATGATGTTAGGTAGGTTAGGTATCTTTAGAAGTGCATCTTCAACTTCATGATATAAATTTAGTATGTCTCAACTTACTATGGGTTTATCCAAATATAACACCATCAAAATTTGAGGACTGCATTCCTAATGCAATAAAATTATTAAACAATTTGCTAGAATGAAAATTTGTGACGAAATTTAAGTTACATTGATTGAATTTGAATTCAAGTTTTACCTTTTGATATACCACATCAGAAGTGGCAATTTATAGAAAATATAGCTCGAAACTAAACAGAAACTAAACAGGTTGGAATAACTATCTGTATCTATATATCTATAACTATCTAGGAAATTTTAATCACATTTGAATCAACCTGTCATCACTATGACCCATAAATAAAGATGGTTTACAAACTAGGAGTCATTGAGTTCATGTGGCTTCACAGATTCACTACTATTTCAAAAATATTAAAATTTATATAAATGTCAGTTATAAATTATTAAGGGTAATCAAAAGAAGAATATTTTGGCTTAAAACAGATAAACAAAAACATTAAAAGCACTACATCATAAAAAAAAGGAAAATTTCTGACATTAGAAAAACATTTAGCATCCGGACGGTTCTAGAAACAGGAATAGCCCTGCTTATTTCAAGAGATGCTGAAACTATTTTTAGCACATTGCACTATTATAGAAAATATGTGCAAACAACTATAGATATGTGCTTATTAAAATTAAAGACAAAGGATTTTCTCAATGAATAATAGTGGTTTATATAGATGGTTAAATTTTTACAGGGCAATAAATAAGAACAGTCAAAATCAGTTCTTTGCTATTCCTTGGGATATATACTGAACAAGTTTTCTAAAACACTAATAATCACATTAGATATGGGAAATTATACTTTGATAAATTGCTATTTTCCATAAATTTGATATATTACATTTCCTTTCTTTTAAAAAAATATTGGTGCCTTAGTTATTGAACCACTGATTAAAATACATGATTTTTAGATAAGAATAGTCATATATATATATATTTTACTTAAAACTCTGAGCTACTTCAATCACTTTTAACCTCTATATGTAGGCTTATTTTTCTTGGTTTTTGTCAAAATTTTAAAGGCAATTTTCACTTCCATAATACTGCTATCTTGTCCACTTTTACTTGCCTAAGTAGAAACTGCTTAACCTTCCCCCTAGGCTAATTCCATTTCACTCAACTAAAGGCTCTTCTTTCTTTAAAGCTAAAAAGGACTTACTTTTTTTTTTTACCCTAAATTCCCCCCAAAACTGCCCTTTTACATCCCCCTGAATGCTTGACTAGATTTGTCTTTTTATATAAGTATTCTATCTCTAGAAGGTGTCCACAGCACATATTCATACAAGCTCAGACCAATTCACTTGACTTGATGACTTAAAGCTTGACAGGAACTCCTATTTCATACTTAGCACCATCCCTATGGTTCTCTTATCCATGGTCCACTGACCAGAAGTAACCCTATGCTGCCTACTTCCCTAAAATCATCTCCAACTGCCCCCATAGTTCACTCACCTGCAGCCACACCGCCATTCCAGCTGTTCCTCAGACACAATTGAGTTACCTGCATCTGAGTTTGTTCCTTCAGCTATGCTAATCTGGCTTTCGCACACCACATCTTCCCTGTCACATCATTCTATGTATGCTTTGTCATTACAATCTCACAGAAGTCTTTCCTGATCATTCTATCCTTGTTCATTTTTTCCCCCATAGTACCCATCATTACAATAATTTATTTATACATTTTCATATTTGCATTTTAGTTCCTTTACTAGAATATATACTTCATTTAGAGCAGCCTGTTTGACTGTCTTGTTTTGAGCTGTATCCTGGCTTATGGTACATCAGAGGTAGTAGACAAATATTTATCCCATAATTAACTACTTCTTTCTTCATGATGTTAGGGACCTAGTCTAATGTCTTAAACATGGACTGACCCTGCTGATAATTATAGAATAAGAACAGATTGGAAGAGGATATTTTGTTGTATATGTGATTTTGGTGCACAACACTGTGAGTTAGAGGTACAGGACCACACCCTTCAGGTATACTTTAAAGCTAGAACACTACATGGAGCCTGTGTGATCATTACATTTAAACAAAATAGGGGTAGGTGTTATAACTCCATTTCCATGTAATACAATTTGTTCATTACTTGAAATTAAGTATCAGTGACAGTTGATATTAAGTAGTAATTAAGAAAGCTCTTCAGGAGTTATAAACATCTTTCCCTTTTTTCAACACATATTCCAGCAAAGACCTCCTCTGCATTTCCACAAATAATAATTTTTGATCAGCTATATTAACTTGAATGGAGAGAAATTATATAGACTTACATAAATGAGTGTTAATCAGTAGAAATATTATTCATAAACAAAAATAGATTTATCAAATTTTACATATTAAATATATTCCATAGCATTATCTGTAGTCATAACTTATTAGAGAACCAGATACCATGAAATTAAATAAAATGCTAAAAAAACATTTAAAATATACCTTAAAAAACTGGAGAATAGGGATTTTCATGATCAGATAATTAAAGACTTCAGTGTACCAAATCAAAGTTTGTAATAACAGTTACCATGAATTGATTGCATTTTTTGTGAAATATTATAATTAAATAAAGGAATGATATAGTTATTCTAACCATTTTATATAAACTCTGATGTAAGGTTATGATATTATAAGACTTTATGAAAATTGTATCATATATAATAATCCATGTGTTTAATTTTTTATATCAGAACTCCACTTAGAAATGTGAAGATATTTATACTTATAGTACTCATTGATCTGTGGGCACATTTCTAAAAATATTTTAACTGGATAAAAAGAAAACAGATTGACAAAATGAATTTTTAATATGGGGTATATAGAACTCCCCATAGGTTATGATTTTGTTTTTAATGCATGGTATTATGAATGAACTACACATTACACGCAGATTACAATTTTAAAATAAAGAAGTCAAGAGACACAAATGCAACTTTCTTTAGAGCACCTGCACTTTGCTGTGCCAAAAGGACTGTATGATTGAACAAAAGCCAAAAATATCTGCCTGGGAATCATCCATGATATTTTAGAGTGCACTTCTAGTTCATAAATGCTATCTTATGCTCACAGAGACATAGAAGGTACTGTTATACACTGTTTGATGATTCATAAACATAAAGCAACTGCTATTAGAACCCTAGCTCTCATCAACCCCTTGAAATTCCCCCAAATTTGTAAGAGGGCTTAAAAAGAAATAATTATTTCTATTTGTAGAGAAATAAAAAATGTAGTAATAACCCTGAATTTAAAAAAAAAAGGCAAAATAAAAGGATTAGGAGAATACTCTGTGTTGCAAATTATGTGGGAAATGAAAATCGGAACAAAATGTTTCTTCTCTATTAGTTGTGCTTCTTTCTGTGTGTGTGTGTGTGCACAGTCAGATATATGAGCATGTTTAATTGAGGGGAGTTATTTAATATATAGTTTTAGGAAATTTGAATAAAAAAGAGTGATATTGGAGAGAGAGCTTGCCTAAGTTTGGAGCTAGCAAATTAAGTGTTTAGTCAAACTTTTTATTGTACTTAAATCTAATAAGAGAATCAATCAGGCAGTTAAACCACATTATCGGGGTAAATTGCTAGTTGTGAGAATTATTTAATCAGATGCAACTTGCTGAAATCACAATAACCTCAAGATCCCAGTGGCAGTTCAGGCTAAAGGCACATATACTATGACTACACTAAGAAAAATATAACAATCTATCCAGGGAGAAATTACTTTCTCCTTTGCAGTGAGCTATTTACCTAACACTTACTATGCACTGCTGTGTATCACTGGAGTAGATCACTAAACAAAGCCATTGTTGGAATGGATCTAAAATAAGCCAAGCAATACAAGCCAAAACCGTGAAACAATCGTAACAATAAGA